TATGTGTGAGCACATACAAGAACATGGCATGACAGCGTGCCATCTGTATCTCAATGTAGGAAATGCATCCGTAGCATAAGACACCTTTTACATCGATTGGGACGTCGGAGCGGGGCTGGCAACATCATCGCCAGACGGTACCATAGGGTGCATTGGAATAGGCTAGACGAGAATGTAACAGTACATCACAATTCATATTGTCGCAGAACAGATGAATGAGGAGACTGGAACATCATGTATTATCTTGAGTTGCGCAGGCCACTGTACATTAGAGGAGGATCGGACGTAACATGACACATTGCAGCATGTCATGCGAGAACATTGCAGCGGATAGGAGGGCACAGTAGGACATGATAGCATATAACAGCGCATATCATATCATAGCACCAATGAGCAGAACAGTACAGACGGTGCCTTCACACAACATAACAAGCCACATCATTCTTTACCCGGCTGCAGTAGAACATACCATATTATACCATACCATGACATACCATATATAATACCCCTTACACTGAACATAATATAGTGGCATATACTATAGTGGAATATAGCAGACGATAGCGCACCATGTCATATACACAATGGACGGGAGAGCATATTATGTTATGATTGAAGGAAGCAGAACAGAGCAGACGGGAGCATACCACATACTAGCATACTTGGTCATACTAGGGTGTTCTCCGATGCAAGAGGTCAGCACGTTGCAGAAGCGATAAAACGTCTCCATGATAAAAAAACAGCACAGGTCATGCACAAATTATTATCGCAGAATACACCGGAGGATAACATCACACATCATACTGTTCCATACGAGTACATCGTAGAAAACAACGTTTACGTCAGAACGTAACATGACACATCGCATGCTAATATACCATGATCTGCTAGAGTTGAACTGAACAAAATCTACGCACACGATATCCATGCCATATGTTAGGATGTCACCTGCCACCATTGTCTCAGGCACCGGGTCCTCCATGTCCTCTGCCACTTGTCGCAAGCGTTGTTTCAGCAGGCGCGCGCACAGTTGGGGGCAAGCGCGAAAGTTGCGGCGGGGATTGCGCGAAGCAAAACATGTATCGATGTCGTGGCTAGCGATGCCAACCATGTCGCTTTCTGTATGCGTGCTGCCGAAGTATTCAGATATTGGTATCGAGGTGCTTTGAAGGATATCGGGGTAAAGAGGTTTTGTTTTACACGCCCTTCACTCCGTCGCTGTTTGACAGCGCCCCGCCCCCTCATCCCCTGCCGGGCTGGCCGTTGTCGCGGTAGAGGACGGGAGGAGAAGGCTTCCCTCTCCTCTCCTTTCCTCCCGCCTCCCTCCATCGCCTGGAAAAGGCACCCGCCGCAAATTTTGGGCAGTCCTGAATTTGTGGAAGTCAGGAGGACGACGACGACGAGCGCGGCTCTTGGGAGGGCGGCGAATGACATCGGCGATATCCGATAGCGGGGCTCGTTGTGTCGACATCTCAGTGTATTTTCCACAGCAGCCCTGTGGATATCGACAACCCGTGATGCCGAGACGTCTCGATCCCCCCAGATGTCGAGGCATCGAGGTATCTAGTCGGCGCCCAGCCCCGCCCCCCGACATCGAGGTTCAGGAGGGAAAGGAACACACAGACACAATTAATCGTCGGTTCACGAGGAAATATGGGAAAACATGGGAAGTGGGGGGAAGACAAACACCCAGAAACTATGGAGCACAAATATGGGACACATTTTTATGTGTGTATCTATTTGTGTGTCCTGGGGCCCCTAAGCGTCAATCTATCAGAAGCTTCTAGGCTGCCGAGTCGGTGACGTTTGTTGCCTCCACTCCTTGCCACGAGTTCAAGTAACCATCGATGCGCTCAGGAATGTTGGAATATCGCAGATAATCGTTCGCCACTATGGATATGTTGCTTTCGGACATGGTGCAAATATATCCATTCGGAACTCCCCCGAGGAACCATCATCTGGCGCGTCTATAAAGCGAGACACGTCCGGGGGATACGATGTGAAACGGCATGCTTTGGATGATCACGTTGTGGGCTGGTCAGGTTTCCTATCAGGTGCTATTGCCCGAAAGGGACGATCTCTGGGATCCTCAGATATGACAAGCTCGGAGGTCACCAGCCAACCCGACAACATCGGGGATCGCTTCTAGCACAGATGAAGCCTGCTACAGAACGGAGTCCTTTGACACCGTGCAGCCGGGGCCCTGGAGAAGGAACCCTTTTCGTTGGGGAGGGGCTCCGCGTTCATTGAGTGTCTCGCAGCTTGCCTCAGGTTCTCCTCATGCTGTCGATCGGAGATCGAGGTTTCACTTGTGGAAAGAAGGGGCCTCGTTCCTTATTTTGGGCTCCTTGGGTCAAGGCCCCGACGGTGACACAGACGAAGCCCGCTGCAGAACGGAGCCCTTTCACATCGCAGCCGTGTCGAGCGTCTGCAATCTCGGGTTCGGAGCCGCAGTGGGGCACCCCGACGGACCGCGGGAGGCAACAAGCAGCAGACACACCCGGCCATGCGCAGAAGGCCTCCTCCCCCTCCTCCTCCTCCTCCTTCTCCCCCTCCTACTCCTACTCCTACTCCTACTCCTACTCCTACTCCATTCGCGAACACATGGCTGGTGCGCGGGTCAAGAGAGGCTCTGCCGCTCAAGCAGTGGCGAAGCGTCCTGGCTTTCCTGTAGGCCCACCAAAAAAGAATGTTCTCATAATCGTTAGTGGCTCGCACGAAGGGTTCTCAGAACATTTCTGGCTGGGACTGTCTTGTTTTAACACATCGGCTTTATGTTCTAAGAACATTGTTTTTGTTCTTCGAACATTTTCGGGTTCTAAGAAGATCTCGTGGTAGGTCCATAGGAATGCCGGGACGGCCGGTCCCTGCTCAAGCCGCCGCGCTCGCTGGCGCGTCGAATTGGCGTTCTGGCCCCGGCTCGACACTCCCCCAAGAGTTAGACGGGAGGGAGAAGAGGTAGAGGCAGGAAAGAGAATATTCGAAGGGAGGAGGCAAGATAAGCAATCAATGAAGTACATTCTGCATCTATGCACTGTCATGAAGTTGCTGTGTACATCATTCAAGCACGCGCGAGTTAGACGCCATCGGACGAGCATCTGCGAGAGTCTGGCCGAGGGAAAGGGGCGGATAGGGAAAGGGGGGGGTACAACATCTGCTGCATGCAGCTGGTTTCGGCCCCGCCGCCAGGCCCATTCCTCGATACATGGGCGCCTCCCGGCGCCGGGAGGCGCCAGGAAGATCAGCTAGGTGAGCTGATTCTCAAACCCCCCCTTTGCTATCCCCCCTTTCGCCCGGCCCGACACGCCCGGGGAAGAACTTGGCCGGGCCACGCTGCTTGATGGGCGCGCCTCAGCGCGGGGGGCGCGTTCCTGCGTTACCGCGCTTTGCCGGCCCTCGGTGAAGCTCCCGGCGGGTCCGCGGAGCGTGGGAAGAACGCGCCGAAATGATCGCGCGGGGAAGAGAGGCAAGTGGATAGCAAAGGAGGGAGCAGCGGGAGGAGGGGGAGGAGGAGGAGGAGGAGGAGGAGGAGGAGGAGGAGGAGGAGGAGGAGGAGGAGGAGGAGGAGGAGGAGGAGGAGGGGGGGAGGGAGGAGAAGAAGTGGGTGGAGCGTGGCGCTGCAGATTCAAAACGAGGACCCAACTCCAGAACAAAGTTTCCCCGTGAGACTCCGGAAAGAAACGGAAAGGACAGACGCCGCATGCGACGGTCGTTGGCGCATGTGACATAGCAGCGCGGTCTGCCGCAGGCAGTTGGCTAGCACCCAGTATACACCCGGCTTGCTGGATGTGAACGTCACCCCACACTCGACGAGCGAGGAAAACCACCAGTCTGTGGGAGGTGCGAACCTGCACCCTGCGAGGCCCTGCCACTTGTTCCACAAGGGGTCGCCCTGGGGGACAGATCGCTGGTCGGACGCCGTGTTTTTTTGGAATGCTGCCTCGACTGTTACAAGCCCAGCGCTGGATTTCTGGCTCTTCTCTGCCCGTGTCTCGAACCGTGTCGGGCGCCGAACGTCGTGCACGTGTCGTTGCCGCGACGCGAACCCGCCGAACCCCCGCGTGCCGGTGGGAACGCGTGTGAGATGTTTGACTGTCCGCCTCCCCGTCGACGTCGCTATCGTTGTCATACTGTTCCTTCTCCTCCTCCTGCTCCTCCTGCTCCCCTTCCTCCTCCTCCTCCTCCTCCTCCTGCTCCTCCTCCTCCTGCACCATCCTCCTCCTCCTCCTCCTGCACCCTCCTCCTCCTCCTCCTCCTCCTCCTCCTCCTCCTCCCTCCGTAACCATTTCGGCTAAAGGTTATGAGTTCCCCGCGGAACGCACAGGTACCGCTAATTCGCGGCCAGTGCCAACGCGCTTGCGCTCGACATCTTTCCCGAGCAGTTCGCCATGCGTGTGCACCTGCCTGCCACACCAGGGGCTCGCAGGCGCCCTGCCTTTGTGAGCTCTTGCTGGAGCATCAACTCTCGACTCGACGACGCCATGGTGCCCGTGCCGTGGAGAGACGGTCAAGCCCGATTGGTATGGCCAGTTCTGCACCATTCGTCGCACTGACGTTCAGCTGCGTAATTGGGGTATCAACGAGAGCTGCTACAAGTGCAAGATCCACAGGAGTGCGTGTTTCCTCAGCAACGTTCAGCCCCACAGCCCTTCGACGGGAACGCGTCAGGCAGAACGAGGTGGGGAGGCTTCAACCATTGCAAAGCTTGAACGAAGGTTGCAGCAGCTGGAGTTTGAGAGCGCCACGCTCAAGGCTCCGCCCAGTTCGTCCTCCGACAAGCTCGAGGGTGTCCCTGCCGAGTCCGATGAGACCCAGCCCCGCGAGGAGATTGACGGCCTGGTCAAGCACATCCATTATCTTGAAGGTGTCAAGCTCTCTTTGGCCGCTGAGCCTTTGGCGATGGCTCGAGCTCAGCTTGAGGCGTCGCGCACTAGGTTATATGAGAATAAGCCCCTTCCAGCGCCGAGCTGGTGAGCAGGCCCGTCTCCGTCTCCAGAAAGGCCAGGACGAGAAGCGTGCAGCTGACCTCGCCCTCGTGGAGGCTCAGGAAGCAGCTCGGCGAGCTGAGGGGGCGCTGGCGGAGCGAGAGCTGGCCGTCGCCAAGCTGGAGGAGGAGCTTCGCAGCCTGTCCAGCCAGCCCATGCTGGTGAACTCCGCGCCGCCGCCGCCGTTGCAGCCAGTGTTCACAGTGTTCACCTCGAAGCTGGCGGACGCCCTGGCAGGACGGCATGGAGGGCGTCGCCGACGCCCAGATGTTGGCCCCACTCCTCGCCGCAGCCACCAACCAGCGCGCTCAGCACTTATGTCTGCGCCGCCAGGGCCTGATGCGCCTGCGGCTCATGCAGCGGGGCAGGAAGAGCCAGAGCCCAAGCGTGCCATGGTCGGCGAGGCTGCGGCTGCCTGGGACGTCGACGGCATGGAGATCGGCGCGTTGCGGCAGAGCGCGGGTGTGTTCGTGGGCGCCCAGGCCGAGGGTGAGTCCGTCAGGCTCGCAGCGAGAGCCTTTGCAGCAGGAGGCTGCAGACCACCGCGTCTTCACGCTCCGAACTATTGATGGCCCCACCGTTGCGGATTCAGCGGCGACCAGTGTTGCAAGTGCCCGGCTAAGCACGTGGCTCGGCGACGCGCTCATCTCAAAGTGCCTCCTGTTTGGCGGTGCAGCCTTTTCTGATTACCCAGAGCTTAAGCCGTGCTCCCACCTGCCACAAGCTTTCGACGACGGTGTTCCGACGACATGTTTTGCCATTGTGCTTTCTGGCGCTCTTGGGGATTCGTCGTCAGAGCCGTGGTCTCAACCGCCTTCGATATCTGCCAAAGATGCTGCCACCTCTTCTAGGTGGGCAGCGGACTTCGAGCAGTCGGAGAGTTTGCCGCGCCAGACAGAGCTGATCCTGGCCACCTACAACGGGAATGCGTGGTCTACTTCGCAGTCTTTCATGGAGTGGCTCGTGCTTGGCAAAGGCCTCCAGTCTGGCGTTCTTTTTCTTCGAGAGCATCGTCTTTGTGTAGGGGCGCAGCTGAAGAGTGCCCAGGGTTGGGTTAATGCGAGGGGCTTTCGCGTTCTAGCTCACAGCTGCGCGGTCACAGGGGCGACGGCCACCTCGACATCCTGCGGGGTTGGCATTGCCAGCCCCAGTCATCTAGCCGGCGTCCCCTTCGAGCCCAAGGGAGAGCGCGCGAAGTCCAGGATTTTCTTTCAGCGGACTATGATCGGCAGCATGCAGATCTTGTTCGCTTCCTTCTACGGCACCACCAGCGTCGGTCAGTCGGGCAACGTCGACCTCTCGGTCTCGCTGATCCAGGTGCTGCGTGGGCCCTGCCTCCCATTGCCGTGGCAGGAGACTGGGGCATTCAATCATAATGCTTCGGTCGTGACGCGTAACTCAGAGCAGGGTTTTTGAGTTTTCTGCATGATGAAATTGCACGCTGCAGCGTGCCAACTTGTAACGACTCGCATCGCGACTACTTGATTTTCAGTGACGTCCTGATCCCATGCTTGAGGTCTGTGGGCACGTTAGAGGATGCCCACGTGGGTCTCCATAGGGCCATAGTTGTGCGACTGAGCGGGCTTGGGGGTGCGAACTGCATCCGCCGCCGAATCCAGCGTGAAAAGTTGCTGTCGCCCTCGAAGCGTCTGTGCCCGGTGACGTTTCGCTGTGGCCAGGTTTTGATTTGGCAGAAAACGAATCGCTCGATAGTTTTTCGCGTCGGTGGTTTTCCTCGGCTGAGCTCCACCTGGGTCTTTATCTGGCAGTTCCGGTCGCCGAGCGGCGAGCGGCCCAGATGCTTTGGGCGCGCTGCTGGATGCAGACTTGGAAAGTCCCTCTGGCCTGCGAGTGGGGCGAGAGTCTCAGGAGGAAGGCTAGCCTCTCCACCCAGAAGTGGCTCTCTGCGCGCCGCCTGGCCACGCAGCGGCCGCGAGCTGAGGGCAGAGATTCCGAACCTCAGCTTGCCCAACAGTCCAGCGTAGTGCGAGTGCTCACTGACTATGCGGGGATCTGGGAGGGCCCCATCTTGGTGGGCGAGGATGGAGTTTCTGTCAACTTGCTCTCGGACTTTTCAGAAGGCCTCGGGGGCCCAGTCAGGTGGCCTCAGGTTTGTAAGCGTTTGTAAGACCAGGCGCTGTCGCGCGCGGGCGCTGATGCGGCCTCCGCCGAGCAGAGCTGGAAGGGGTATTCGGAGCTGGCTTTCGCCAACGGGGCCAGCTTGGCCCGCCGCTTTTCGGAGGGCCCTAAAGGGGCCGCGGTCGCTGACCTCTCCCAGGGCCCACCCGTTGTCGGGCGCGGAGCTCCGCGGTCGATGCCGACGGACTGGGCGGAGCTCTGGATCTTTCCAGCCCGAGCCTCTGAGGGGCATCTGCTCGGATGGGATGTCGGCCCAGCTGAGCCGCTGCCTCGGTTCACGGTCAATGACGTGAAGGCGGGGCTCGGCTCATTTCGAAGGCAAGGCCGCACCCGGATGAGGTTGTTTCCGTCTCCGGTGGATGGAGAAGGTTCCCTCGGTCCCCGCGTCTACCCTCGCGCTTCTCCAGCTGTCGTGGGGGGATAGACCCGAGCTCGCCGACGTCTGGGCGACCTTGATCGCGTTCCTTCCTGAGGTCACAGGCGGAGTCCGTCGTATAGGCTTGCTCGCGCTCTTCGCGCGCGCCTGGTCCCGTCTCAGGCACAGGGTAGTTTCTGGCTGGGAAGCGACCCTGCCAGACCGCTTCTTTTGGGTGGCCTCGTCTGAGACTGCGCGTGATAAGTCGGCGCGGGTCCATGATGTCGTATCTTGCGTCGCTCCCGACTTTCACTCTGTCAGTGCTTGCGCGTTTATAGATCTACGTAAGTTTTATGATATGGTGTCGCATCGAGAGTTCGATGTGCTGCCAGAGACACAGGTTCCCCCCGGAAGCTCCCGGGGCCTCCACGCGCTCTGTATAAGGGGGCCCTGGAGGGCCTCGTATCATAACTCCACCTCGGACGTGGTTTCCGCTGGCGGGGCGATCGTCGCAGGGTGTTCCTGTGCCACGGGGCTCGCGAAGCTAACGACGCAGACGGTCCTTCGGCATGTCGGGGCAAGCTGCCGCTCGCTCCGCGCCAGCAACTTGATCGACGATGTGAGTCTGCACGTGCGTCGGGGGCCCCAGTGTGGTCTCGAGGGGACTCTCTGGGGTGTTATTGGAGGTCGCGGGCTTGCTGCAGGCCCGAGGTTTGCCGCTCGCTTGGGGCAAGATGGGCTTTCTCTGCGATGGCGCGGAGACTTTCAGTGCGATCGAGGACGAGGTGGCCGATTCATGGCCCGCGGGCACCCCATTCCTTGGGCGAGGTCAGTTCCATCGAGATCCAGGGGGAGATGCTTGTGGCGGGCGTCGCAGGAGGATGGGTGCGCAACTCGCTCGGACCAGGGGCACGATGGCCAAGGGGGGCAGGTTGCTGGCCTCGCAGGGCCTTGGGAAAAGCGTTCAGCTGTACATCGCGCTGGCGTGTTTACAAAGGCCCTGCGGGGCTGTTCCATCGCGGGCGTTCCTAGCAGCAGGATGCAGCAGCTAAGGGTGTCCTTTCTCAGCGCGGGGTCTCGGTTCAAGCCTGGGTCCTCGGTGGGCCATTCCCTCGTGTGTGCTGAAAGCGGGTGGCAGAACGAGCCGCTGGTCATCGCCGCTGCCGGTGCAGCCAACGCCTATCTTGTCGCCTTGGCGTCTGGGGCGATCAGCGCAGCGATGGTCGCCGCGTTGATGGGTGGAGCGGCGTCGCTGCTCGATGACCCCCAGGCGTGGCTCAAGTGTAAGATTCCGATTGCGGCGCTTATGCTAAGTCAGCATCGGATCTGCTGGAAGTTGCTGGGTCCCGTCACCATAGTGGACGATGAGGGCGCGTCCTAGGATCTCAGTTGCATTGCCAAGCTCGGCGTGAGGAGGCAGATCGACCGAGATGCCCCTGTGCTGCTTCAAGGCGCAGGTGCGACCAGGACGGGCCCGCTGTCTTGGCGCCCTGTTCTCGAATGTTTGCACGGCAAGAAGCTGACGCCTCATGAGAAGAGGTCGTTGCGAGGGGTTACCGCGGGCGCTTTTTGGACGCGGATCCGCGTGGCCCGAGCCTTCGCAGGAGAGCCGTGCCTCTGTGCGCGATGCCAGGCGGCCCCTGGTTCGCCGTTTCATCGCTTCTTCGTCTGCGGCGCTTTTGCGGCCCAGAAGCAGTTGCTGATCCCCGACGTGTTCCGGGGGGCGGCTTTTCGGATGATGGGGGAGCCCGGGGGCCGCCGAGACAGTCTCGCCCGAGGGCTGCTATCCCATGCGGGCCAAGCGTTTCGCGGTGGAGCCAGGAGTCGGGGCCATGACATCATCGATGTAGACCGCCGTGGCGTGGTCTCAGTGCGAGATGGGTACGTTCCTGTGGACGGCAGCGCTTTCGCGGTCCAGGTGCCAGAGTTGCGGGCGGCGGGCTGGGCGGTGTCGGTCTACGACTCGGAGAGGCAGCGTGTCGCTCGGTATCATGGCGCTGTCCCTCGTGCTGAAGGGTCCAGTCAGGTTGCCCGGGATGATGGGGGCCTACGCGGTGCTCGGCTCGCATCATGCCAAGTCTGGTTGTAAGGGCTCTGCGGGCTGTCCCCGCGGGCTCCGAGCGGCATGTGGCCCAGGCAACTTTCGGGCCCACGCGTGGAGAATGGTGGCTCCTGCCACGCTGCCTTCAGCCGCGCGGGATTCCATGCTGCCAGCGACGGCCAGGAAAGGTTTGTCCGAGGAGTTTGCCGCCTACACGCGAAGCTGCTCAGGTGCGTCGCCCAGTTCGAGGTGTGGTTGTATGGGCAGGAGGAAGAGTTTCGTGATTACACCTTTCCTGAAGCTGAGGAGGATGCAGTGGTGTCTCCTGTGCAGGATGCAGCGGACAGGAAGGGATTCCTTCCTTGGCCATGGTTGGTTCAGCGTCATGAGCTGCTGGCAGATCAAGTTGGCGGTCAGACACGCTCGCTCGTTTTCTGCACCAGTTGTTGCGAGTGCTCGGGCACGGGTCGCCTCCAGCATCGTGGTCTTGATTTCCGATGCTGTGGCCGTCTGGGAGGCTGCGGCAGAGCGCACGAGGACACGAGTCACTTCCAGAACTTAAGGCACCCGCAGAGCCTGCACAAGCAGGTTCGGCTTCATCACGCGCGCAGGCCAGCTGAAGCTGTGAGAAGGAATCGGTGTACATCCAAGGGTTGGCAGGACTCGATGAGAGATGACGTGTTCATCAGTCGCCCCAAAGGGAATATCATAGCCCAACCGCAGAGATACCCATCCCGACACAGCGTGCATCCTGGCGGACCATGGCCTAACTTACCCCGGGTGCTTGGAGTTGGGGGCTCCTCGAGATGATGGCAGCGATGGTGGAGATAACTTGGATATGGTATGAGCGTCCTGTCTCCTGCCAGTGGTTCGTGCTTTTGTTTGGATCCCCGCTGGCACAGACTTTCTACTGAACTCGTTCAGCTTTCAAATCCATCTTTGGGCAGTTTCACGTCGCCGAGGTGGCTGCGACCTTCCTGGGCCATTGGTGATGCATGTTGCTGGCCCTTGGGTACTCAGTGCGTTGGTTGGGCTAACCTCGTTTCGCCACGGTGCGGCTCGAGCGCCGTCGTCGTGAGCCACATTGACTTGCTGGTGCTGCTGCGGGCCAGCTCAGTGGTGACGGCGCTGGGTGTGCGGCACTCCGGCAACGCCCAGCTCGCGCTGCGCCCCCTCGTGGTCGGCCCCCCTTGTGCCGCTGCTGGGCACCGTCCCCGCCCTGCGGGGCCCGCTCTTCGGGGACATGCGTGTGAGCGCGGGCCTGGCGCAGGCCCCGTGCTTACGTGGGCGCCTGCGCGGCGCCGTTCGGAGGGCACCAACTATACACCTACACCGATCCAGCCCAGGCCGATCCTAGGCCCAGGATCGGTGTATATGCATTCTGCCCATGGCAGGAGGGCGTATACACCGATCCTGGGCCCAGGGTGATCCTGGCCGGGATCGGTGTTGGTGTAGAGTTGGTGCCTCCCTAGCCGTGCCGCTGCCGGGGGTTTGACGGTCCCCCCCCCGTGCTCGGGCCACCACCCAAGGACGACTTCGGGCCCCCCGGGCGGTGGGCCGAGCGGGGAGCAACGCCGTGCCGTCGAGCCCCCCGGGGCCGCTCTCGGCCCCTGTGCCGCTCGCCTCTCTGCTTCTGCTTCTGCTCGCTCGCTCGCTCGCTCGCTCGCTCCTCCTCCCCCTCCTCCTCCTCCTGCTCCTCCTCCTCCTCCTCCTCCTCCTGCTCATGCTCGTGCTCCTGCTCCTCCTACTCTTCCTCCTCCTCATTCTCCTCCTCCTCCTGCTCCTTCTCCTCCTCCGCTTCCTCCTCCGTCGCCTTTTTTGCTCAAGGCTGGCTGTCAGAGACCGTCCTGCCCGAAAAGTCAGTTTGCAGATCTCGCCTGGGCAAATAGTGAGCATTGCGCCAGCCAGAAGTGGCGATGGCAGCGAGGCTCTCTGCACCGGGCGTGGTCTCGACAAGCTTCGAGGGTCTCCTGCAGGAACTGGACGAGCTGAGGGTCCGCCTGCTTGATCAGCACAGGCGCGAGCTTGGCGCCAGCATGGCCTCTGAAGCTGACGCTCCCGAGGCGTGGGATCGGACTCTCCAGGGCCCCGCGGCCACTTCGAGATTCTCGACCGCTGACTCGCGCGAAGACGTGCGCACTGCCTCTTCGGTGCTGTCGGGGCCAGAGACGCCAGCCCCGCGCGCAGGCGTCGGCTCTACCTCGACGGCTCGAAGACCAGCTGGTCCATCCGAGGTGGACGCCGTGGTGGTGCACGAGCGCTTCCGGCTTCTGGAAACCTGGCAGGACAGGGTGCGGGACGCGCGGCTCATGGGCACCTGGAGGAGGACGGAGCTCGACCTCCTCCCGGGCCGAGTCACGACAGGCACGATCAGGTCGACCGGCCTGCGGCAGGACAAGGGGCTGATGTCCAGGGTGGTGCTGCACCCACAGAACCCACTGGTCGTCGTCTGGAATTTCCTCAGCGTCGGCCTCATCGCTTATGAGTCCGTGACCGTCCCCCTGTACACGTGCTACACGTTCCAGGAGTTCCCAAAGGTCATCGAGATCTTCGATTGGGTCTCCAGGATTTTCTTCACTATCGATATTCCCCTGTCGTCGGCGACGGGCTTCCACGACAAGGGCTACGTAGAGCTGAGGCCAGGCAGAGTACTTCAGGCGTATCTCACGTCGTGGTTCTTTCTCGACCTGTTAATTGTCTCGCTGGACTGGATCGTGCTCGTGCTGGAAGACCAGAAGGCCCTATCGGCGGTGCCAGTCCTGCGAGGTCTGCGGCTCGTGCGCGTGCTCCGCCTGATGAGGCTTGGTCGGCTCAGTCACGTGATCAACGAGTCGTTGCTGTACGCGTCCGACGGGGTCACGATCCTCGTCAGGATCTCGAAGCTGACCCTTACGCTCTGCATCACCATCCACCTGACAGCAAGCATCTGGTATGCCATCGGCACAGAGTCCAGCTCCGGCTGGCTCTCTCAGGAGCCTCTCCTGGATTCGGCCGCGCTCTCGGCACAATACCTCGTTTCTGTCAATTGGGTCGTCACCCAGTTGCATGGCACGAGCCTCGTGCGTCCGCAGACCCTCCTGGAAATGTTTTTTCAGACACTGGTGCTCCTGGGTGCAAATGCCTTCGTCGCGGTTTTCTTTGCCAGCACGATGCAGGCTATGATGGCTCTCACAGACGCCCACAACTTGAAGATGCAGTCCCTCTGCAGGGGCTACCTGCGTCGCCGGCGCATCTCCCCCAGCCTCTCGCACAAGCTGCAGCTGCACTTCGGACCGGCGCGCAGCATCAAGACCACCCTGCGGGACAGCCAAGAGGTCGAGAACAAGCTGGTCGAGGAACTCCCGCCCGTCCTGCGGCGGCGCCTCTACGAGGAGGTGCGCCTGCCCCTCCTGAGCAGCACGCGGCTGTGCCGGACGAGCGGTCTCTCGGACTACCGGCTGCTGGCGCAGCTCTGCTGCGATGCCGTCTCTGGGGTGTGCGCGGAGCCGGGCGAGCTGATCTTCACCAACGGTGACGCTTGCACGCGGATGCTTGTTGTCGAGTCGGGCACCAGCCTGTACGTCTTCGAGGCCTCGGCAGCAGTTGAGCAAAGTCTTGCAGGCCCAAGCTTCGTGAAGGCCCCCAGCAGGTCCACGGAGGCTTCCGGCTGCCCTCGCGGCTCGGAGTGCCAGCGGCAGGACTCCGAGCTCCAGCGGGGCCGCTGCCTCTGCGAGGCGTCCCTCTGGACACGGTGGGCGAACCGTGGCGAGCTGACCGCGGAGAGCTACTGCACGATGCTGGCCGTGAATCAGACGGACTTCGCCTCTACTTTGACCAAGTACGAGCTTCTCTGCGTGTCCGCCGTCAGGTACGCGTACTGCTACATCGTCTGGCTCAACGAGAAGAGCGCCGAGGAGAATGTGTCGGACTTGACGGACGCCCCGGTCAATCTGAGCGAGTACACGCCCTCGATGGTCGATGCCTCCATCCCATTCGTGTTCATCTCGCACTTCAAGGAGGAGGCGGGTTCGGATGCCGCGCTCATGGAGGAGGGGATCTCTCGCATCATCAAGGAAGATCCATGCCACCCGGCGTACCGTCTCGAAGCGCCAACATTCCTCGACTCCAACAACCTTGGCGACCTCAGGCTCATTCGCAGCATTGTCAGGAGCAGCCATAATCTCCTCCTGCTTCTCACGGACCGGGTGCTCGAGAGACCCTGGGTTCTTATCGAGATCGTGACTGCCATGAAGTCAGGCGTGCCCATCCAGTTGGTGCAGATTCAGCGCCCCGGCGTGGTCTTCGAGTTCCCCACGGAGGAGGACATCAACCGCCTCGCGGCCCGCGAGGGCCTCAGCCAAGATGCCAAAGCCCTTCTGAAGGCCCAGAAGATCACCTCCAAGGACTTGAGGGCCATCGGCCAGATCTTCGGCAACGTAGCCCTGCCGTTCTCCCCGCACCGGTCGCCCACCGTCAGGCGCGCCGAGCTCCTGGACATCCTCGCACGCTGCAGGTTCGACGACAACCCCAGGGTCGCCCCCAGGACAAGGCAGGACTTGCTGCGCTACTCGCCAACCCAAGATAGCATCAGTCTCCCTGCCGCGGAGGCGCAGAACGAGGAGCTGAGAGTGTGAGAGTGCAGGACGGGCGGGGCCCAATGCAGGAGGTGGTCGGACCACGCAGAGGAGGAGGAGCATGGAGGAGACAGCAGGAGGAGGAGGAGGAGGAGGAGGAGGAGGAGGAAGAGGAGGAGGAGGAGGAGGAGGAGGAGGAGGAGGAGGAGGACCAGGAGAAGGAGGAGGAGGCTGCGGCTCGCTGGAGCTTGGCTCCCTGAGAGCCGACCCTGCGTGCCGCGGCCGCGGCTAGCTGGCCTGAGTGTGTGTGTGTGTGTGTGTGTGTGGGGGGGGGGGGGCACCGCGTGCGGTCGTCACCGCCTGGCCACATCCATTTTCCATGGTCGATGTCTGCGTGTCATCCTTGCGCGTGTTGTGATCGGTGTCGATTCCCAGAGGGCAAGGAGCGCTGCGCAGCAGCATGAAGATTGCGTAGTTGTTAGCGACGAAGTCAAATGATACGGGATCGCCCCTTGCATGGAAGGTCGCTGTCCAGCCGCCTTGCTGCTCTTTCTAACGAGCTTGCCGCCTGCTTCTGCTGTGAGGGAGAGCCGCTATGAGAGCTCTGCTCCGATGGGCCGATCGTTCGTTCTTAGTCAGCAGCACTGCGAAGAGGAACCATAGCACATTGCTTTTGCAGGGTGAGCAAAGCTTGCATTCCCGCGCTCGGCTCGCCATGTTTTCCCGGGCTTGGGCCCAGGTTTCTCTTTTGGTGCTGTGCACGCTCCGCCTCCTCTCGGCGTCACCTCAACATACGTACACTATTTGTGCGCCGCCCCCTCAGTGGCGACGCGCGCACCGAGAAATCTTACAGTATATGCGTCGTGGCGGGCGTTTTCTGGCCACACCGCTCGGGAAACGATATACTACAAGATGGGTGTACTATATGTTCGGGTCGGACGCGCGCCTTCAAGGAGGACATATAGTATTAGTATGTCTCCGTGCGTCCCATCGTCCGCTTCCTCCTTCTCTTCCTCCCCACTCCTCCCCCTTTTCTTCTTCGTCGTCCTTCGCCTCGTCCTCTGCTCCTGCTCCCGTCCTCGTCGTTGCCCTGGTCCTGCTGCCCCCCCTTCGCTCCTCATCGCCAGCGCCCTCCTTGCTCGCAGAGGGCACGCGGAACGGCGTCAACCTTCTGAGCAATACACTCGAGGAGTCCAGCATCCGCATCTCGGGACGCATTTGGGTTCAGGTGGTGCTTTCCCGGACGATCTCCTCCCCGCTACACTTTACAGCCAGGCAGGCGTATGCTCTGTGCCCATTAGGGCTGGCATCCTCACCAGTGCCTCCTCTGCCTTTCCTGATCCGCTGCGCCGTCCCGACCTGATTCGTTGGCCTCTTCACGTCTGTTGTCTCTCGATGCACTGAGCACGCTGGCTCAGATTCGACCAGCGTCAAAAACAGGGGCGACACAGACCTCGCCTCAGCATCCGCCTCCGCGCACCAAGGCACCACATGAACAGTTCTCGGGCGAAGTTGGAATTTCCTGGCATGGGCATGGAAGAGGCCTGAGCCCCCGCGGAACCCAATCACAGTTGTGCTGCGCGTGGCATACGTGAGTTACGATGCACAAGCTATGTGGCGTAACCTAGGAGGTCCCCAAGAGCCCATAACGATGACCCCATGACTTCCCAAGAGGCCCCCTTGACGGCCCACACACGGCCCAAGAGACCCCGAAGACGCCCATGATGGCCTCCAGGACGGTCAGGATGGCCCCACAGAAGCCCAACATTGCCGCAAGATGCTTCCAGGACGGCCCAAGATGCAGTCAATACAGCCTAAGATGGCATCAGGATGGCCCAAGACGGCCTCCCAGAGGCCTCCCAGAGGTCCCAGGGGGCCTCCAAGAAATCCTCCAGGAAGGCCCGAAGAGACCATCATCTATATTCCGTAGTTGATTGAAGGATTTCGGCGTAGGTTCTCTTCGGTCTTCGGACGGCCCAAGACGGCCCAATATGCCCCCAAGAGCGACCCAATATCGCTGAAGAGGCCTCCAAGACGGCCCCATGACGGCCCAAGGAGCCCCCAACACGGCCCCAGTAGGCCCCCGAAACGCCCAACATGGCCTCCTCGACGGGCCCGACGTGCCCCCTGAGGGCTCCAAGCCAGTTCAGAGAGACCCCGAAGTCGGCATGCGACGATTTTAGACGGGCCAGGACCCCCCCTAGTTTGCCATAGGAGCCCCCGAGCCCCCAAAGGCCCCCAAGAGGCCTAAGAAGACCCCCAATAATCCTCCACGAGTCCCGCCAGGAGGCCCCAAGTGTTCCCCAAGTGTTCCCCAAGTGGCTCTCAAGCGGCCTCCCGCTCCTCCTCTTCCTCCTCCTCATCCCCACTTGTATTTCCCTTCCTCTTCTGCCTTATTCTCCCCCAATTGTTCCCCGCAGCGTTTCCCCAGCGGCCGGCGGGCAACATAGCCCGATAGCTTGGCAAAGCTCTGGCCGCAACGTTCGGCCACAGATGCGATCCCAAAATACAGCGGGCGGCGGTGATGCGCCGTAGGCTTCTTCGCTAATCAGTCAAACAGTTCCTGTATGTCAAGAGAGCAGCGCTGCAAATGCTGCAAATGCGCAATCGATTTGCCCTATGAGATTCGCCTGGGGCTGGCGCGATGTCAATACTGTAGAGCATGGTGGCGCGACAAGCATCAAACTTTGTGAAATGCTCGAATATGGGGCGGCCAACTCTGAGAACGATTCGCATGCGCACTATGCGCATTGGAACGCAGCACATAGAACAGGAACGGGCGCGGTGGCAGACATCGGGAAGGCGTCCAAGAATCCTTGTAGGAATGAGTGCATATGCATCGGCCCCGCCATGCCAGCGGCGCCGCGTTTGCTCCGGTGCTCTTCGGAACTCGCGTATGTCAGAGTGGAAGCTTTGACGCGGCCGTGCAGGCGCTCGGATGGGAGGGACAACAAGGAGTCCATGCTGAGCGGGGTAACTGGTGCGTGTCAATGTCCGCCGCCGTGCCTCGAGGCACAGACTTGGCATCGCTCGGACGTGTGCATTTTTCCTTCGGCAAGGACCATCGAGGAGCATCCTTGATCATTCGGCGAAAAAACACATACGAAACCGAACAAAAACACAGGGAATGGACGTCCAAGCGATGGCGAGCAGAGCGGACGTGTCCTCGGGTCCTCTCGCTACCTCTCTCAGCCGCAGCCCTCCCTCCTGAGGGGTCCCTGCGGGGTTCGGAGCCCCCTCGCCTCAATCGGAGGCCTGGAGGTTGACACCAACACCAATATCGGCGGTGTGCCTCCACCGGGGGAAAATGATCCCGATCTCGGTGATGGTGGTAATCTTTGGGACTTCTAGGTGGCCGAAAGATTACCACCAGCACCGAAACCGAAGATCATATTCCCCCTGTGGAGGCAAACCCCCTGTGCTGGTGTTGGTGCCCGTTTCCAAGCCTCCAACTCAGGTCTTGCGGGGCCTGCCGCGGCGCGTGCCCCCTGGGCTCCCCCGCGCCTCCCCGCGGGACTGCCCTGGGCCCGAGGAGGGCCTCTCCAGGCGAGCCCCGCGGGCCCCGGGAGGGGCGCGGGGGGACGCGACGGGGCCCTGCCGAGGGCCTTCGGAGTCGCCGAGCGATCGCTCCAAGACGCCGAAGGGTGGCCCCCCGGCGGCCCAAGTGGCCTCCAAGACGCCCCAAGAGGCCTCCATGAGGCCTCCAAGCGGCCTCCGAAGAGGGCCCCGGGAAGCAACAAAGCACAGCTGTTCCATTTGGTTTTGAGGACTGTTTTGGGGGGTTTCCGCGTTGTCGGCTTCCCGACGCTCCAGGACGAGCCAAGAGGTCCTCACAATCGCCCCAAGACGGTCCAAGAGGCCCCGAAGACGGCCCCCCCGAGAGGCCCCCAAGAGGCCCCCAAGAAGCACTAAGAGGCTGCCAAGAGGCCCCAAACAGGCCCCAACAGGCCCCCAAACGAACCCAAGAGGTTTCAAAAGTGCTGCCATGAGGCCAACGAGAAACCTACCAGGAAATCCCAACTAACTTTCAAGAGGCCGCTGACCCACAACCCAGGTACGGAGGCGGGATGGGCCGAAGGCCATTACACATACATGTCTGTCTGTCTGTCTGTATGTGTGTGTCTGTATGTATGTATGTGTGTATGTATGTATGTAGGTATGCATGCATGTAAGTAAGTAAGTAAGTAAGTAAGTATGCATGTATGTATGTATGCATGCATGCATGCATGCATGTATATGTATGTATGTATGTATGTATGTATGTATGTATGTATGAATGAATGAATGAATGAATGAATGAATGAATGAATGAATTAATGTATATATACACATATATAACGGCCATTTCAGGAGTGGCCAGACAGGACTGATGACCTCCTTACGTTAATTCGTCATTGCATGGCCTGGTATGGAATGTAGTCGCGGTAGTTTTATCGGGGGGCTACGCTCTGGCTTGTGCAACCCGGCAGCGCGCGTCCGGTTTGTGTACCCCAATCGGGGCTTCTTTACATTTGGGTGGCGCGCGCCAGTTCGAGCAGAGGTCGCCGTAGGTCGGCTTCTGATTTTCCCCATTGCGCACACTTCCTAGCTTCTTTAAGTGCCTTGCCGATGATCCAGTCGTCTCACGTTTTCCTAATGGTTATCCGCTTCAATTATCCCAAGCGTGACCCGGGAGATCAGGGCAGCTAAGCTACGCTACTCCCGATCGGCCCGAAGGTCGTGCCAGTCTAGAACCCGGGGGGAAAATCCGGACCTGTGCCTCCGGCACCCGGGCGATTCTGCGATCGTCGTGCATGGAGTGCTTCACGGTGGATGGGGAGAAGGGTGGGGGCTGCAGAGGGGTGGATGGGGAGAAGGGGCCCTGCATGATTTCGACGTAGTGGTTTTTTGCTCCCCATAACCGCACTTGCTCACTTGTGCGATCGGCATTTGTGGTTGCCTGTGCCTGAACAAAAAATGGCCTCAAATTCGACCAAGATGGCCCAAGATGGCCTCCAAGACGGCCAAGATGGCCTCCAAGTTCGCCCAAGAAGCCTCCAAGACGGCCCTAGACGGCCCAAGAGGCCCCAAAGAGGCCTCGAAGAGATCCTACAGGAGGGCCCAAAGAGGCCAACATCATTGATTTTCCTTGGGTTTTTGAAGGATTGTGGCCTTTGCTTCTTTTCGGCCTTTGACGGCTCAAGACGGCGCAAGAGGTTTTTATGATGGCCCCAAGACCGGCCAAGAAGCCTTTACGATGGCTCCCAGAACGGCCCAAGAGGCCCCCAAGACGGCCCCAAGAGGGCCTTAAGACGGCCCCGAAGGCCTCCAATACGCTCAAGATGGCCTCCAAGACGGCCCCTGAGTACTGAGCACCCCAAGAGGGCCCTGAGTCGTCCCAGAGAGGCCCGCAAGGCGGCTTCCGACGGCGTCAGACTGGCCAGGAGGCCACCAAGACGGCCCAAGATGGCTCCAAGATGGCCAACGACGGCCCAAGAGGCTTCCAAGAGGTCGCCTAGACAGCCCAAGAGGCCTCCAAGAGGGCCTCCAGGAAGGCTCGCAGAGGACCAATATCATTGATTTTCCGAAGATTGTTATCGGATGTGTTCATTTGCTTCTTTTTGGCGTTCCGATGGCCCGAGACAGCTCAATAGCCCCCAAAGATCGCCCCAAGATCGCCGCAGAGGCCTCCAAGATGGCACCAGAACGGCCCAAGAGGCCCCCAAGACGGCCCCAAGAGAGCCCCAAGACGGCCCCAACTTGCCTCCAAGACGTCCAAGATGGCCTCCAAGGCAGCCCTTGAGCACCCCCAGAGGGCCCCAAGTCGGCCCAGAGAGGCCCCCGAGGCGGCTTCGACGGCGTCAGCTGGGCCAGGAGCCCACCAGGACGGCCGAAGTTGGCTCTAAGCTGGCACAAGACGGCCCAAGAGGCCCCCAAGAGGGTTTCCAAGATGGCCCGAAAAGGCCAAAACCATGCACTGGCATTTGCTTCTTTTCGGCATTTTGCAGCTGCCCGACTAGAGCCTGGCATTAATGGGCTCATCCATCCCATCGGATCGGGGGGGCATTTGCAGCTGCCCGACTAGACCCATGCATTAATGCCTCCGACTATGGATCGGGCATTTCGGGCAGTTTGCTTCCATCTCCCCCATTTTGCATGTTTTAGGCATTTGCTTCTTTTCGGCCTTCCGACGGCCGGAGGCGGCCAAAGAGTGCCCCAGAACCGGGCCAAGAGGCCCCCAAGACGGCCACAAGAGGCCCTGAGATGCCCAAGGGGGCCTCCAAGATGGCACCAGAACTGCCCAAGAGGCCCCCAAGACGGCCCCAAGAGGGCCCCAAGACGGCCCAAAAGGCTTCCAATACGCCCAAGATGGCCTCCAAGGACGGCCCTTGAGCACCCCCAGAGGGCCCTGAATCGTCCCAGAGAGGCCCCCAAGACGGCTTCCGACGGCGTCAGACGGGCCAGGAGACCACCAAGACGGCCCAAGATGGCTCCAAGATGGCCCAAGACGGCCCAAGAGGCCCCCAAGACAAGAGATCTCGAAGGCAGCCCAAGAGGCCTCCAAGAGGGCCTCCAGGAATGCTCGCAGAGGACCAACATCATTGATTTTCCGTTGGTTGTTGAAGGCTTTTGGCATTTGCTTCTTTTCGGCCTTCCGATGGGCCCGAGACGGCCCAAGAGCTCCCAAAAGATCGCCCCAATATCGCTCAAGCGCCCTCCAAGATGGCACCAGACGGCCCAGGAAGCCCCCAAGACAGCCCCAAGAGGGCCCCAAGACGGCCCCAAGAGAGCCCCAAGACGGCCAAGATAGCCTCCAAGACAGCCTTGGAGCACGCCAAGAAGGCCCCAAGTCGGCCGAGAGAGGCCCCCAAGACGGCTTCCGACGGCGTCAAACGGGCCAGGAATGCCCCAAGACGGCCAATGAGGCCCCCCAGAAGTCCCCCAAGGCCCCCAAGAGGCCCAAGGAGGCCTCCAAGATGCCTCAGGTTCCCAGGAAGCTCCCAGGAGGCACCAAGAGTGCCCCCAGAGGCTCTCAAGATGCCCCGTCCTTTTTCCTCCTCCTCCTCCTCCTGATCTTCCCCGCCATCCTCCCCCAAGTGTTCCCCGGAGGGTTTCCACAACGGCTGGGGGAACACATGCTCCGATAGCTTGGCACAGCTCTTGCCACAACGCTCGGCCACATGGGCGATTCCAAAAGGCAGGATGGGCCGAAGGCCACTAGATCCTTCGCCACCTGTGGTCTTGCCACAGGGGTGCCCGGCGTGCTAGATGCTACGGGTTTTGTTTTTTTCGCTTTTCTCTTAAAAAGAACTCCCTCTGGGGCTTAGGCCCGTCCCGACGGCCACCCGGAAGGGCCCGGAACACCGCCGAACATGTATTTGTCAATGCCTTTCTCGCTCCAAGATAGCCCAAGATGGCTTCTAAGACGGATCAGATGGCCCGAGATGGCCTCTAAGTTCGCCCCAGATGGTCCAAGATGGCTTCAAAGACGGCCTCAGAGGGTCGAAGACGCCTCCAAGTCCGCCCTAGAAGCCTCCAACATGGTCCAAGAGAGACGCAGAGGCGCCGAAGAAAGAGGCCTCTAAGACGGCCCAAGAGTCATCCAAGACGTCTTCCAGAAGGGCCCAAAGAGGCCCACATCATTGACCATCCTAAGGTTTTTAACGGATGTGGCATTCGTTTCTTTTCGTCCTTCCGACGGCCCGAGAAGGACCAGGAGCCCCAAGGATCGCCCCAAGATTGCCCAAGAGGCCTCCAAGAGGCCCCCAAGACGGCTTCCGACGGCGTCAGACGGGCCAGGCATGCCCAAACACGGCCGAAGATGCCCCCGAGAAACCCCTAACGGCCCCCAAGAGGCCCAAGGAGGCCCCCAAGATGCTTCCAAGAGGCTCCCAGGAAGCTCCCAGGAAGCACCAAGAGTTCCCCCAGAGGCTTCCAAGATGCCCCCTCCTCCTCCTCTTCCTCCTCATCTTTCTCCTCCTCCTCCGCTCCTCCTCCTTCTCCTCCTCCTCCTCCTCTTCCCCCTCCTCTTGGAGGCGTCTTGGGAGCCTCCTTGGGCCTCTTTGGGGCCTTCGGGGGCTTCTCGGGAGCTTCTCGGGGGC